GGGCGGTCTGCCTTCGCCGCAGAGAACCCTCGCGAGTTCCTGGTCCAGGTGCTGGAGAGGGTGCAGGCTGGGAGCCGGGGCGAGGGGCAGTACCCCTGCCTGATGGACGAGGAGAACCTGGGCGCCATGTTCAGCCTGCTGGACGCCGTCGGGCAGGGCCACATCACGGCCGCGCAGTACAGAGCAGGTGCGTCCGTCCCGCCCGCCGCCTGCCCGCGCGCACAGCGGGGAAACGGCAGCACACGCATAGCAGCACACGCATAGCAGGCTGCAAAGGCGGCTGCACAGCCGACACGCAACTCGGAGCTCGGTTTAAAGTTTTAAAAGTTACGTGTTTTGAAAGTTACATATCTTTACATGTTATACTTAGGCCGCTTTAAGGTGTTATTCTTTCCAACACTTATATTGGAAATTCTTTTACCTTTAGCTCTTAAAACTTTGGGTCTGAGCACTGAAGATCTGCAGCTTGGGGATGATGCGACTGTCGCACTGGATGTATTCAAGGAAGAAGTGTAAGTTTAATTGGTTTTGTTGGGGTTTCTTTTGGGGGGGGGGGGGATTGGGGGGGGGATACACACAGCTATTTTATCAAGCTATTTTTTTTTAATTTACAAAACTATATGATTGGAGGACTTGCTGGTTTACGCCTAACCCCTTTACTTTGCATTGCAAGATTTAAAAGGTCAGTTACTCCCTGACCTTGCTTGGCTTGCTGTCACCTGAGGCATTTTCCTCTACCATCTCAGTTCAGCATCCTCTCAAAGCAGAGCTCTCGGATTATCTGCCCCTCTGGTAAGACAGTTGTCAAGTAGCCCAGGGGTTCAGATACTGATCTAGAAATGTGAAATCATGTTGTCTTCTTTGCCAGACTTAGTACCAGCTACACCTACTACCATCTACAACTGTAAATGAAACAAGCTCAGTTATAATTCTTATGGTCAAGGTACAGTTCTAGGGGTAATTTTTTGGTAACCATTCCAGTCACTGAAAGGTAACAAAATAATTATCCTCCTCCTTATCTAACTATAATTCTTTTTCTTTTTTTCTTTTTTTTTTTTTGTTAGGAAGAAAAAGATGCTGGAGAGCTGGGCTGTGTAATAATTTGAGCAGTGGTCTACTATATATATTAAAAACAGGTATCTTGCTCAGTTCTTCTGGTTTGTCAGCTGTGGAGCTCATTTGAAGCAGTACTCTCTTTTTGTTGGTCCCTGCTCAACCCCATTTGAGCAATCAGCTGAAAAAGAAAAAATGACACGAATGTGTTCCTGTTTACCAGGCACTGGACGAGTATCTTTTAAGAATTGCTTTTCTTAATACAATTAGATGGTCACAGGAAAAAAAAAGTAGAGATGTCTTTTACACAACTAATAGAGTGTTTTGGAGTTTCTTCCTGCAGGTTGTAGCTTCCATTAAGGGCTTGTTTTTTGTTGGATCATTACCATTGAATAAATAGTTGAGCTGTTTCTTCAGTTGGTGTTGGTTTTCTGGGCTTGTGGTGTGTTTTTTGTAAAGGAAATACCAACATCAAGCTATGAAAAACATCCATAGCTGAAGAAAGACACCACCAGATTCCAAATAAAATGCTATTTTCAAACTTAGAACACAGTATTTATGCAATTTTCAAAGACAAACCAAAAAAAAAATTGGTAGAAAAAAGAAAAAATATTTGGATGAACATGAATAACAAAAACAGAGTGATGTATTCCTTCATTCTTTCCTTCTGTATTCTGTATACACACAGTTTAATACAGAACATCTATTACCTGGGATTTTTAGGATGTAAAACATCTGTGTTTAAATGAAGGTGGACCAGTTCATAGGAAGAGCTGTCCATATTGTACAGGGGTGTATTTTCACTGTAAATACTCTCTGTTCCTTGGAACAATGTTACACTGTTGAAAAGGCAGACACAGGCACTAGAGATGAAGAGAGTTTTGGATTCTAAATGCAATGGCAAGGCAGCTGAGGGAAGTAAGATCTATGCAGTTCAACACCAAGTCAGTATCATTTTGATTTTTTTTTTTTTTAAACTGTATACAGTAAAGTGTAAAATGAGATTAAACCAGTCATTTAGCATACGGTAAAAATAACAACATACTGGCTTTGCTTTTGTTGAGGTAAGTGATCTAGACCAAGTGATTAACAATTTCTGTGGGTCTTTATTTCCCTGTATTGGGCCAACTGGCTCTCAAATTGAGAAGAATCTCAACATCCTTGGGAGCTAATTTATACACGCCGAGTTCGTTCAGCGCTGCTGCTGCCGATGGGGGGCTGGGCGTGAGCGCGGTGCCCTTGTCTGCAGCCGACTGCAGCACGTCCTTCAGGAGCAGGGCGGAGCCAACGCTCAGGGTCAGGATAATGCAGGCCTCTTTTATGCTGGAGGAAAGAGTTACACTGAGTAATACAAGAAGCACCCATGAGATCCCTTCATGTTGTGCACACAGTGATTAACAGAAAAAATCTCTATGGACTTCTGAAATGGATGAGAAGTATTGAACTAAAAAGTACTGCTTAGATCAAAGCAAATATTGTCCTTGTTCTTACTGTGTAAGGCTTTTCCATCATGCACGTGCATTTCATAAGCATCAGGATTTTGCCTCACAGTGCTCAGCACAGCTTTTGCTTCTGAAGTTTTTCCACCGGTATTACAAATACCAACTAGAATTTACCACTTTGTCTAGCTTTCCTTAACTACATTTTTCCCTGCAATAATTAGAAACTTAGTATTCAGGTAAGAGCACAGTTTAACAGACAGTTCCCAGCATCTAAACATTTTCCCTAATTAATATCATTAGGGAGCCAAAAGATACCCTGTCTTTGTTCCTAGTCTGAATACAATAGATAGCCTATGTATTTAATTACTCTATTACGCATGATTTTTTACGGTTCCTTTGTGTCTCTGTGTCCTCTTAGGCTGGGAATAATATGTATGTATCAACTGCCTTTATGAAGGTGACATGCTTACAAACTGAGAGGAGACCCTATTGCTCTCTACAGCTACCTAAAAGGAGACTGTAGTGAGGCTGGTGTTGGTCTGTTCTTCCAAATTACTGATGATAGGATGAGAGGAAATGGCCTCAAGTTGCACCAGGGGAGGTTTTGATTGGATATTAGGAAGAATTTATTCTCCGAGAGAGCGCTTAGACACTGGAACGGGCTGCCCAGGGAGGTGGTGGAGTCATCATCCCTGGTGGTGTTCAAAAAATGAGTAGATGTAGCCTTGAAGCTATGGTCTAGTGGTTAGGGAAGTGTTAGGAGGAAGTTTGGACTTGATGATCCTGGAGGTCCTTTCCAACCATAGTGATTCTATGATTCAAAAAAAAAAACCTTAAATCCAAAGATGCTATCTGAATACTCCAATTACAAAATGCCAGTATATAATGTTTGTCTTCAGCTGTTCAACACTGAATCCTGTGCTCCATACTAATTTTAAAATAGTAAGATTTCTGCCCCAAGTGGCCTAGGAGTATAGTGCTGGACTTCAGACTTGGCTGCAGGCTGTTTAAAAAAGGACTGACCAAAAAGAACGTACCTGCTTTTTGTCAATGAAAGCAACTAGATTTCTTGCTGTGCAAGGCAATTCTGAGCAGGAGCATAGTTTGAAGTAGTCTTTCTTCTAGCAATAAAGAAAGTTTCTTATGTTTTAACTATATCCTTTGAGTATTTCCTTTGGCCCCAGTTTTGGAAGTCTGTTCTACTTGTATTCCTTCCATAAGTGAATTTATCTAGACTCCCCGACTGCACAAAATACTCCAGTAACACATGCTGCAGTCTGGCACTATCCAAGTACATGCTGCAGAAACCAAACTTTCCTAGTTGTAAACACTGGAAGCGTGAACGATCCACATATTTTAAGTGTGGAGGAAAACCAACTGTGAAAAAAATCTTGGCGATAGAGAAAATGCATTCATCTGGACATTCACTTTTGAAACACCGAGAGATCCACTGTGTGCCTACTTACTGCTTGAAGTAGTTTTCTGGCCTCTTGCAGTAGTGTGAAAATAAAGGGAACAGGTTTCTACTCATGTCAAAGTGGAGTTGTGCTGCTCCTCCTTCGTTGAAATGATTTGCCATAATGACCTGCAAACACAAGGGGCACGTGGGCCGTGCAGGCCAGCCCCCGACACCGGCGCAGCGCTGAGCAGGCCGCAGGCGGCGCTTGGCCAACACCCACCTCCTGATAGAGGTACACATCCACCCTCTCCGCAAGCAGCTGCCAGAATATTTTGAACAGTGAGTGACAGAGCTGCTCTTCTAGTTGTAGCAAACGGTCTCGTAGGGTCAACAACATTGGGCAAGCTGTGCTGGATAAAGACATGACTGCTTGCTCTGCTTGAGAAGGCAGAGATAACCACCTGAAAGAAATCACGCTCAAGTCGTTACATGGAAATTGTTCCTATTGCAACCGAAACTAAAAAATACCCTTTTAAAAAAAAATTTTAGCCATTTACAGTGGTTCAGAGAGAGCTCTCCTCTCCCATTTCCAATCTAAAAGTAATCACAGTCTAATGCTATGTTTCAATTTCACTGCATATTAAAATCATGTTTTAGTTATAGATCTCCGAACATGCCATTCAAAGAACCCCATATCTAATCTAGAAAATCATTCCTTTGATGAAGTACTTCAGAGATGCTGCTCAGGAGCAAATGTTCAAGAAGCCCTACGAGTCTGTGAAGACAGAACAGTCATTACAGGCCATTTCACATTAACTCTTTAAACTACCATGAAAAATATTCTTGTCCAAACTAGAGCAATCGAGAATTCTTCCTGGGGTTTTTAGAATAATGCGCCCACTAATTGTGGAACCACTTTAGAAAAAAACAGTATTAAAATAATCTTAAAGTTATCTTCCAAAACTTACTACCCTGTGCCATTCCAATTCAGGAAAATACTTCTGCCTATTAGCTATTCTTGCCTTCATTCACTTTAGTATTTTCAACAGGAAATAATATTGTCCTATGAGAAGAGCGTAAACAGATAGAATCACCTCTCTTTTTTGTACAGCTTTGCAGCATCTTTGACTTCTCTGAAGACATGATCTACTTGACGAGTCAGCATGTCCTGTTTCAGGCGTTCCAGGAGGTTAATCATCTCATCAAAGACTGAGCTCTCCATGGAGGCCAGCTGCCCCAGCTGCAGCTGACTGGCAGCGCCGCTCTCTGCACGCACCTCCAGCTCAGCCTGCTGTAGCTGCAAGAAGAACTAGAGAAACAAAACCAGAACAGAATACTGCATATTACAAAAAATAATCTTACCGTTTGAACTCTTCATTGGTACTTTGATAGGCACAGTTCTAGAAAACACTCTCCTGACACATTTATCAACTTAGCATTTTAAGATTCTAAAACCACTTTCTTATCCTTCCCCGTGGTCCTGATTTAGTGAAAAACATAGTGGTTTAATCCTAGTGATGGAAATGATAAGGTTTCGGATACAACAGCAGGTAAGTAATGAGATACTAAACACTAAAAAGATAGATATTTTAGGATTGACAGTAGAATGCTTAAAAACCAAA